CCGCCACCTCCCCAGGCCCGCGCGGCCCCCCAGCGATCAGCAGCTGCAGAGCTGGGCCCGCCGCACGCTCCTGGTTCTAAGCGCTACACGGAACAGCGCAGGCAGGAACCCTGCAGTGGGGCAGCCACCCAGCCCCACCGCGCCGCCTCGCACCCAGCTCTGGCGAGGGTGGGTCCCCCTTGCTGCTCGCTCCACAGCAGCTGCTCTCCCGGTAACCTGGCTACCATCACCAGGGCACACGTGCCCTCCTCACCGGGGCCAGGCGCTGCCACGAGACAGTTCCACTCTGAGCTCCCCCCGCCAGTGCGACAGACTAACCCTCCCCGGCAAAGCCAACCCCTGGCAGGGCGGGAAACGGCTCTGGAAAAGCGACCCAAATGCCCTCCTGCTGTGAGCGAGGGCGCGGGACACGGCCTGGCCGCGACAATGCCCTTCAGGCAGGCAGGGGAGCGTAAGGCCACAAGGGCGCACTCCCGACCCAAAGCATGGCCTCTACTAGATCCCAGCGCTGCCCCACAGCATGGCCCACGGCTGCCAGGATCGCCAGGGCCGCGCGTGGAGCAGAGCGTGGGGCGGATCGTCGAATGATACCGCAGCTACACCTCGTACCATGCGACTGAACCGATATTCAGCTAAACTACACCCGCAGCCTGGAGACCTGCTACCAAGTGCACGAGAAACCGACCTCGCCGAGGGGCCTGCCTCTGGGAGGAACTCGGAGACCCAGCACACAAAGCTGCAGCAGCCGGCTGGGGCGCAGGGAAAGGCTCCCAGGACTGGCTGGATGCAAACGCGGAGGAAAGCTCAGCACTCTGGAAAGAAGAAAGAGGAGCTTTCCAAGCCTGGCGAATGCGATTCGGCCTACTCCCAAGAGCGACCGCGTCCAGCTCCCGCAAAGCGCGGCACTCGCACCCAGGCCACTGCAATGGCAGCGGGGCAGGAGGAAGCAGAAGACACCCACATCACGTGGACGCGGACACGAAGGCAACATAGCAGTTCTCGGGTTCCTGGACGCCAGGCTGTGGCGGCTGGCGGGGGCAGGCTGGACGGGTCGACTGTCCCGTTGCAGCAACGCTCCGAAGCAGATCCCACGAGAGCCCGTTCACCCCAGGCGAGGCGCCGGTGGGAGCCCAGGCAAGGCCGCGGGCCGAGATGGAGCACTGGCAGAAATTCAGGAATCTGCCGGCCAAAGGCGCTACCAGCTCCCCGGGAGATCCCCTTCCTGACACCAGCACACAGACGCCACAATTGCCCCTTCATTTAAAAATAAAGGCAGCAAACGGGTCTGTGAAAACTGCCATGGGATCTCTCGCCTGCCTGTCTGATTCCTCTCCCGTTTCCAGTGAGGCCAACAGGTCAGCCTGGGCTGGCCAACCTCCTCTTCATCCCGGTTCTCACCCCGGCCTCCGGCGGGCTCCACCGAGGCCCCGGCACCAGCTACCGGTGTGAGGGCTCAGTCGCCAGCAAACACACAGTGAGAGATGCAGTCCTCGGGGCGACGGGGGGGACTCGGGTGCGGCACAGAGCACTTCACAGAGGCACCGACACTGACTGCCCTCACAATCCGCCTGGGGGTCGCTTCAGCCTTCGGCAGCACTCGGCGGAGCACCACCCAACTGTCTTCCTCCCGTCCCGGCAGCAGCATCGCCACAGAGCACCAGCAGGTACCGAAAGCTTCTCCGTCGCTGGGGCAGTCCTGCGAGCCCGCGGCAGGACTCCCCGGAATAGCACTGTGGGGCGCTTCCATGCCCCACCTCGCTCTGCGCTGCGCCCTGGGCGCCAGAGGAAGGCTTAGCAAACCGTTCGAGGCCCCCGCGCGCTCTCTGTGCACCACTGCGGGCTCCACCGGCAGGACCAGTGGCGGCCTGGAGAGTCTCCAAAAGTCAAATGCCATAAGCATGGAGGCCGTGCTGAAAACACCCAACGACGCTGGGCCAGACGCGTCATCCGGACGCCTGGACACCGGCTCCCCCGAAAAACGCCCGGCAGTGGGTAGGCACAAGGACACGGGACACGCCGCACGGGCAGGCGCAGGAGCAGCGACGCGTCGGGTGCGGTAACATGGGAGGGTCTTGCGAAGGGGCCGGCAGACAGCAACACGGTGCTTGTTGCAAGGGAACAGCGTCCCGCTATTGCTCCCACCCTGTCCCAGGCCTGCCCGGCAGCATCGCGTCAGGACCCACCGAGGGAGCGTGACACAGGTACCCTGGGTGCTCTGCGCTCAGCTCAGTGCGAAGAGAGGGCCAGTCTGTCCCCCGGGCCGTGGCAGAGCAAAACGAGAAGCGCCTGTACCGCAGTCCCGCGCCATCCCAACCCTGCCTCCCTCTCAGCGGCCCTCAGCAGACGGGCGGAACGGGAAGTTGTCCCGGCCTGGTTTAATCCCGGGCGTCAGGGCTCTGCTGCACCAGGACTCGGAGGAGCTCAAGCGTCGAGGGGGGGGCCGCTCCTGCCGGCTCTCTTGCGCAGAGCGTCCGCCAGCAGGGTTGCGTCAGCACCCCCGGGCCGGGGCATGGCCGGGAGCAGCTGG